CCATCATTAGATTTGGTCCCTTGTCCTTGGTCCGGAACTAAGGCAAAATAAATCTTTCTAAACTTTCCCAGTCTGTGGTATTGTGATTAGATACAGAAAAGGGATCATGACAGTAATATTCTGTCTTACTTCCCTTAACTCTAACTCATTAGATAGCTCCTGATGACACAGACAAAATTAAACATGAAAAAAATTTTCCTCCTTTTTTCTCTTCCCTTAACCTTAAAACCCAGTTTTGAAGTTGGTGTTCTCTTCCTGTATTTTGCATACTTTATCACCAAGGTGCACATCCATAAGGATATGTGTGTTTAATATGCAAGCCAAGAATTTTACACTTTTCGTTTTGGTTAAGAAGCCTCATTCAGAGCTTCATGCATCATGCGATGCTCTGGGCAGTGGATGAGCTGGCACCTCAAGCCCTCCTCGGCTGCCACAGCAGCCCCTCAGGCCCTCTCCGATTCCAACGGCCTCCGGTTTCATGGAGACCCTCTTAGACCCCCTCAACACAGGCACAGCAAGCCCATGTGCCTGCTGGCCTGGGGGACACAGAAATGAGGAAAGGGGAGACAGCAGACACTCAGGCAACCAGGGAGTCAAGTCCACAGGACGACAGACCTAGCTCCAGCCAGCGCGCTGCGGGAACACCGTGCCTGTGGTGGCGGGCCTCTCAGTGCTCTCATGAAGCTGAGGATCAGAGCTATTGATGAGAGATTATAGAGGCCAGGTAAGAGGCACCTGGCTTTCTCCAGTAGAACCTTCTAGCCTCCACGGGTCTGTGTATCACCCGCCCAAGATCACAAGGGCCTAGGGCAGGGGTCCGGGGTGACTCATCCCTGGGCTGTACCCCCAGAGCTGGGTCCCCTGTTAACACTTCCGGAAGGGATAAGCCTTCAGCACCTCCCTCCTTTAGACTAGGTCCCAAGGGGCATCTTTCCTCACCCTGGAGGTCTGCTCAGAAGTCTTTGGCTGAGGAAATGGGGGTGCAGAAGTGGACCCCCCAACACAAAAATATAAGTGAGTGCTCAGAGAGCAGCAGGAAGGAGAATGAGGGCCACTCTGGGGACACCCAGAAAGGTGTCCAGAATCCAGGCAGGGAACTGGGGCTTCCTGCTTTGTTTTTTGGGGTTTCTTTTTGTTTTGGTCCTGGGGATCGAACTTGGGACCTTGTGCCTGCAAGGCAGGTGGCAGAACCACTGAGCTAAATCCCGGCCCCTACTTGCTTTGTGCTCTAGGACCATACAGGTTCATACGTCTGGGACAGAAGGCCTTCCGCCTTCACCTGCTGCCTGGGGTCTCCCGCTAGCCTAAGCTCTGGGGATACTACTGACAGCAAAGGCCACAGGCCACATCTGTCGAGTGTCCACTCTACACCAGGCACTGTGTCAGCTCTGCCATCTTTGCTCCCTGCTGACTCCAAAAGCAACCACAGGTCCACAATCCTCTCTCCAACACTGGGGGACAGACATGCTCAGTCTGACTTGTCCACTTGACAAAAATAGTGTGGTGAAGGTAGTGCAGGTGACAAAAGCCCAGGGATCTGGGGAAGCCCCATAATCACACGCACAGATACTTCCGCAGTGAGAGGCAGGAACAGCTCCACCAAGAGAAAAGCAAAGGTTTGCTGGGCCTCAGGACAGTTCAGATTCTGCCGTGAAATAAGTGTGCTGCACACTGAGGTTTAACTCTACCAAGTAAATCTTCTACCAAATGAGTCTCCTACAAGCCCACTTCCAGAGCTCGGGGGCCTATGTCACTGCACTCACTTTGCAGATGGAGAACCCTGTTCCTGGTCCCTGAACTAGGAAGCAGTAGGGCTGGGATCTGAACCTGGCCAGCACCTTGGCTGTTTTCATGACCACGGGGGCTCCGGGGCGGAGACAGTGCCAGACTCAGAAGAGGGACTGTGTCTGGATGAGGAAGCCCTCCCGAATGGAGCACGCAGGAGGACAGGAAGGCCGGCCCCACACTTGAGGCGGCACTGCCCGTCTGCTGACCGACTCCAAGATGCCCTCCGAGGGACTCTGTCTCCAGACACATGCCCTCTTGCCACCCTCGCCGGAGGTGTGGGCGTCACCCAGCTGTCTCTTTCACCTAGGGATCAGACCCCGACTGCCGTCTTGGTCTGTGTGCTTGATCAATCGGGCATCTGAGCTGAGGCGTTCTGAGCAGCGGAACTGGAGGGCCTCCAGGTAATGGCCAGTTAGGAATGGAGGACACAGCACCGAGCTCTGCCAAGAGCCATGTGAGCCTGAGCCTACACAGAAGACTCCAGCCCAGACCATCATGCTAGCTACAGACTCCTAAGAGACCTTGAAGCAGAGGACCCAGCTAAGCTGCACCTGGACTCCTGACACCCAGAAACTGGGAGGTGATCAGCTGCTTGCTGAGTTTGTGGACTGATCCAGCCAGTGGTCTGCGGTCTTAGCCCGCTCCCCTCCATGGCACCCTCCAGCAAGTTCCTGCTATCACCTGTCCCTACATCTCAAGACGACACCTAGGTGTGGACCATGAAGTGCCTCACTCACAGCATGCTCCGCACATGCTATCCAAGAGTTCCAAGACACCTGGCCACCACCTGGACTGCTGTGCCAACAGGTCAGGAAACACTTCCGCCTGCCCCATAGGACAGCGTTGAGCTCAGGAGGGAACTGCAGGCACCGCTCTGACAGGCACAACCGTGCCCATTTCCTTCCCAGCCCCATCTCTGAAATCACCCACTCCAAAGAGGCAGAAGTTCAGGCCACCCCAGCTGCCTGGCACTGTTCACATGCACCATACTGTGTCTACCCTACTACAAGCCCATCTGGTAGGAATTACCATAAACCCCACTTGACAGATGAGGAAACTGAGACACAGAGGCTCTGCAACGAAGCCTGAGATGCCACTGCCAATCACCCAGTGGCTTCACCACTGCTGTAAAGCAGTGGAATGCAGAACTTAGACCAGCTCAGAGGCCGGAGCTGGGTACGAAACCAAGCTCAGCTTCTTTCTAGCTGGGTGACCTGTGAACAGCGCTCAGTTTGCCCACCTATGAAATGGAAATATGACAGCAACTACCTCCAGTTCAACAGACCATGCAGGGCCTGGCTCCTCATGGTGCATAAAACATAGCAGGCATTATTAACGTGACTGTTTTTTAAACACTGGGAATTGAACCCAAGCCTTGTGAATGGTAGGCAAGCACTCTACCATCTATACATCAACCATATCCTCTGTGTCCCCCCACTGTTTTGAGACAGGGTCTAAGTTCTCCAGGCTAGCCTCCAAACTGCAATTCCCTTGCCTCTGCCTCCAGAGTAGCAGGGACTGCAGGCATGGGCCACCACACCCAGCTCATTCTATTTTTAATCAAACATTGCTCTGCAGAGCCTGACCACTGTAGGCCCTGTGAGTGGCCTGGACAGAGACCCACACCACGCAGGGAACGTGAGTGTCAGGAGTGGGGAGAGGGGTTTCAGTTGTGAGGCCTGGGAGAGTTGTGCAGTGGACACGAACAGAACCAACTTGTGCTGTGGGCCTCCAGAAAGTGGGGTCCCAGAGGACTTGGATGGGGGCACAGAGGGCCTTCTGGGGGCGGTGGCCGGCACCCTGTCCCTCCTCTCCCCACCCAGGCGAGCAGGGCCCTGCGCTCACCTCTGCAGCTGCCTCCCAGTGGTGTCCGTCACCAGCATGCCGTTCTCCATTTGCTTTGGCTCCTTGCCTGGACCACTGATGCCTGTCACCCCTGGCAGGAGAGAGACGAAGGACACGACTGGTGTTTAGGAGCTGATCAGAGCCAAAACTAAAGACAAGAAAACCGCCACCTCGGGGAAGAGTGGGCAGGTAAGCTGGCTGCCAGGAAAGAGCTGCTTTGTGAGGGCACAGAAGGCTCTCCCGCCTCGGCTGGGGGCTGGGATGGCTACAGGTGAAGGTCCCGGGCTTGGGCAGCTGCCCTGTGCTGGTGGTGATGAGTAAAATCCAGTCTAGTTCACAGGTACATTTAGCCAGCGGGATGGGGCTGCAAAGGATCACACAGAGCCCTCTGGTGGCCAAGCGGTCCAGGGGTGTGTGTGTGTGGGGGTGTGTGTGTGTGTGTGTGTGTGTACGCAAAATAAAAAACAACCAGTCGACAAGGGCGGCAGGCAGTGAGGAGAAGCCCCTGCAGTGCAGGGTTAATCTTTTGGTGGACAGATCCTTAGGCCCCAGGAAGTACTTCAATATGTAAACTGAGGAGCTCCTGCACAGCACCCCACCTAGACAGGCCCCAGTCCCAGAAGGATCCACTCAGGCTCAACAGAGATCCCCAGAACAGCAGCCAGGACAACGACGGCTGGCAGTTTTGAGGGGAGGATCAGCACTGTGCTGGGTGGAATCAGTCAGCTCTTTGCATCTTTAAGCCTCAGTGAGGTCAGGGAGGTGTTATGACCACGCCCGCTCTGCACCGATTTCCTCCTCCTCTGGGGCCAGGAAAGAGAGGCAAGTACAACACAGAGCAGCACAGGGCTGCCCTGGGAGGAGACCAGGAGAGAGGTCACAGATGGGCTAAATACACTGCCAGCAGCATGGTCACAGTGGCCCTGGGAACACGATGGTGTGACATGAGTGTACACAGAGTGCAACAAGCCAGGCTCTCAGAGGTGACAGCACAGGGAGTGTGGGCAACACTGGAAGGAACAAGGGAGCCGGGGATGGGTCCCAAGATGGGGCAGGTGTCTTAGCCAGGGATTCTCCATCACGGCTGGGAATAACTCTCCGAGGGTGAGGGTGCTGTATAAATGAGCAGATGCCCCGGTCCCCACAGGGACTTGGAGCTGGGGCAGAGGCAGGTGGCCCAGGCTCTGGAGCTGCTCTCTCACTTCCTAGCTGTGCACCCTGAGGAAACGGGAAGCCTCTGGAGCCTCAACTTGCACATCTGCAAAACACATCAGTAGATGCCAGCGTCAGAGGCAGGGGGCTGAGATGGGATGGTGTGCGGCCCCGGGCACAGCCAGTGCTCTGGAAGAGGGAAGAGTACGGTGCTCACACCGCGAGCATTTGTCAACGCAATCTACGGGGAACTCTGGACACGGGAGGGCTGGGGATCACTGCTTTAAACATTCTTTGAATGTCAGCTTCTCTTCTTCTTGAATAAGCCACAAAAACAAAAGCAGCCCATCATCCAGGAAGGAAGAGTGGTAACAAGCAGGCCTTCCCATCCCATGCAGCCACAGGCAGTCAGTGCTCAAACACGTCACTGGCAGCCAGGTGTGGCACAGCCACCACTCGCCATGCAGGACGCCCAGCCTGAGAGTGCCAGGCTTCAGAGACGTGCTCTGCCCCAGCCGGCTGCCCTGGCCACCCCTCTGTAAGTCTTGGCCTTACCTTCTCTGCTCATCTTTCCTGCAGCCCACCGGCTCTCCAGAGGAACTCCACAGGTGGTCTCCTAGGCTGCCTCACCTTCCACCCACTTGCTGGCCCCAGGCTGGCCTCCAGCCGGGGTCTGGAAAACCCGACTCTGCCGGGGGCTGAGGGTCTCACGGGAGGGACAGCAACAGGCCGGCCTGCCACCCACCCAGGCAGGCCGCCCCACGGGTGCTGGGCTCCCCCGGCCAAGGATGGCCCTGCCCGGGTCCCCAGGATTCTGCACTGTATCAATGGCCGAAGGAGCACAATGATCCTAGCTGGTCTATCCTCAAGGGTCTATGCAGATTCCCAGACTTCCCAATCTTTGACTTCGGCCATTTTCTAAGGTGGCCAGAGTCAGCATCTTGTCTGCAAAGAGCCCTTGGTCTGGACCCTCAGCCCCACACCACTGGGTACAGGAGCAGCAGGGACAGCCCAGCCAGCGTGGACTCTGCTGGCCAGCACCCTGCTCATCCCCACTGCCAGTCACCCTGCATCAGCTGGCCTGGGCACATTCCAACCACGCTCGGGAACGTGTCTTGGTGTCTTTCATCATCCACCCACTGTGCACCAGGCCCTGCACACTGCAGTCAGCGACCCCAGGACAATAAAGCTTAGCCAAGGCCCAGGTGGCACGCCAGAGCTGGGGAAACCCAAAATGTATCCTCAGCACCACCACAGAGCTTGGAGGTGAAAACAGAGACATTCAAGGCCCCTTGCCAGGCATGCAATGACAATCCTGGTCCATCTACGGCCTCCATCTACAGTCTATAAGCACAGCTAACTGCGACCCAGGCGCTACTGACCTTCCTCCTCCTTGTCCACCACTTCGCTGCCTGGGAAGTCACAAGATCCGAGAAGGTGTTAAGAACCCAAGCAATACCCTTCCCCATGCTTCCCTGAACACCCAGAGGGAATGGATGGATTCTCTCAGAAGAGTGAGGGGCCAGCACTGCTGAGGGGTCCCCCTATTTGTGCCTCCCAAGCACACTGCCTGAGACCGGCCCCTTTCTCCGAAATTCCTGTCTTTGAACATCAAAAGAGCTAGAAGCTGAGCGTGGTGTCGTGGCACAGCTGTGATCCGGGCACTAGGGAGCTGAGCAGGAGGATTGCGAGTTCGAGGCCAGCCTGCACTACCTAGCAAGACCTGCCTCAAAAACACCCCAAACAACAACAACAAAGAGCTAGAAAATTAATGCTGCAAAACAATTTTCCATCTTTTTACCTGCCTTCATGGCAGTGGAGGGAAGAGATTTGCAGAGGGGTAGGGCAGGCATGAAGCTGGGAGGAGGCACAGGCCTCAGCTCCAGACACACATGGCCTTAGTTGCTGGAGGACAGACACTGCCCTGAAGAGGAGTCCACACCCATGGAAACTTATACGGGGACAGCTGCACAAGGACCCCAGAAAGGGGGACGAGACGGTGACTGGGCTCCGATATCATCCCAGACCCCCCAGAATGGGCTCGGCCCTTTTCTGGGCTCTCACAGGCCCGAGGCTCCCACTGCCGCCTCACTGACCACCAGGACGCCCTCTGTCACTTAGCATTTGTTCCCCAGCAGACGATGGACTGGTCCTTATCCACCACTGTACTCCAGCACGGGACACGCCCTGGACAGCTCTGGGGAGGAGATCTACTCTGCGGGGTGGCTTGGGTGCCAGGCGGTCCTGCAGCACACAGTAGTGCCCTTGTGGACATAGCGGAGGGGCGTGTGGACAGCCCGACAAGTGGCCAGCTGTGAACAAGCAGAGCTGACCTTCCAGTGCCACAAGGACATCATGCAGCTTCATAACCTCTTGCATAACCTCCCGTCTCTATAAAGCTGGCTTCCAGACTGGCCCCCAGAGAAACTGGTAAAATTAGCTCACGTTTTCTTTTAATCTGGGATATTTATGCAGCTTTATTACAATCCAAAACCATCTGACTCATGGGTTTTTTTCCTCCCCAGTACTGGGGATTGAACCCAGGGCCTTTGTGCTGAGCTACATCCCCAGCTGTTTTTATTTTGAGACAGGGTCTCACAAAGTCATTAAGTTGTCCAGGTGAGGCTCAAACCTGTGATCCTCCTGCCTTGGCCTCCCAGAGTGCTGGGCTCACAGGCGTGTGCCACTGCACCTGGCTAACAGTTTACACAGGGGACATCCTGAACAATCAAGGTGTGATCTACTCACTCTCTTACATAAGACATAATATCAAGTGTCTACTTTGTGCAGGTGCCGTTCTCAGTCCTTGGGGATACAGAGGCAGCCACGGGGAGAGAGAACCAGTAAACAAACCACAGACCCTGAATTTACTGCCAGGCGGTGTGGTAGGTGCGACAGAACATAAAGCAGGGTATCAGGTGGCGGGTCTCTGGTGCCGGCAAGCCAGGTCTGTCCCCGCCCTGAGCCCCAGAAGTGCAGCCCGGGCAGAGCCAAGCCAAGCTGACAGCATGCACAGCAGCCTTTCAGAGGCTGTTTATGCCAACGCTGCCTTCGCTTGGGAAGGGTCTGGATCTCGGCCCGGCCTCCCTTGGGAGAAGAATTCAGCTCACTGCTGTGCAGGCGACATCTCGTTTTTGACCAAAAACGGAATTGGCTGGCTGTACCACCCAAGCTCTCACTCGAGCTGGAGCTACGAAAGTTGTCTTTCCTCAAAAGAGGATGAAACTCAGGCCCTGCAAGGGCTCAGAGGACCTTGCAGTCCACTCACTGCGAGGGGGCCCTGGGGATTCAGGGAAGGAAGAGGGCAGGTGGGCAGGTGCGGGTGAGATGCGGTCTTCCCACCAGCCCGACTTCCCCCGGCCTTTCTCCCTGGCAAAGTGGGGGCTGTTCCACGAGTCCTCTCACGGCCCCAGCCTGCCTGCTTTCTCTGTTATGGAGGGGCGGGAATGCAATTAAGTCCTGAACTGTGTGAGGTTTAGCAGCACTGCCGGGCTCTGCCCAGGGGATATCTGTAGAAACCCCAATCCAGGGGAGACGGCAAAAAAACATCTCCTCCAGTGGTCAAATGCCCAGTGTCATGACTGTTCACCGTGGGAAATCCCTGACCTGGGCTGTACGTTCCTGAAGAACAAATGCAGCTCAGTGGTAGAGCACCTGCTGAGCAAGCGTGAGGCGCAGGCTTCATCTCCAGTACTGTGGAAGGAAAAAAAGAAGAAACCAGCCAGGTGCGGTGGCACAGGCTTGTAACCCCAGCACTCTGGGAGGCCCAGGCAGAACTGCCAGTTTGAGCCAAGCCTGGGCAATTTAGAACTTCATGTGATTCTGTTTCAAAATAAAAATGTAAAGGGTTGGGAATATAGGTCAGTGTGAAGGCCATGAGTTTCCCCAGTACTGCAAAAAAGCAAAACCAGACAAAAAACAAAACCAAAGTTATAAAAATGTTCTTTACTTCTCACGTATGCACGTTAATAAATTGCCATCCGAAATAAGTACTAAATAGATTTCCCAGAAACCAGTATAGTAAGCATCCATTTTCATCTCACTTTTGCCATAACACTAAGAACCATCCCCAACCAACACTGCCTTCAGCCTGGGTGTTAGACCTCAGGAATCCAACCAGAGAACGTTTCCCCTTTAGGAGCCAAAAATGTGGCTCCACAGACCCAAGGTCACTGGTTGCAGCTGGCCAGGGGTGAGCAAGACGGGGGCGGGATGCCAGGGCTTCCAGATGGGGCCACCTGGTTTGAGGCCACAGGCTGAGGATGCCGCGTGTCCCACCTGGCCAGAGAGGAGGTGGCTGGCCTGGGGACGTGGGCACAGAGGCACTTGGTGGTAGGTGGCATTCTTATCACCAAACTAAGTGCCAGTGTACACAGAAAATAATAAAGAAACGGGCCACTTTCAATGTTCTGTACAAGCTGCTTTGCACACGCTGGCAGCTGGAGAGGAGGGGCAGGGCAAAACTCAACCGAGCCGATAACTGAAGGAGGTTCCTTGGTCACCTGGGTGGAAAGGGGGGTGGGGACAGACAGCAGCTGAGAAGGAAAGACAGAGAGAGGCAGAGACAGACAAAGGACAGACCATCTTGGAAAAAAAGATTCAATTGAATCCATTCCCTCAATTTAGAAAGCAAAGCATTATTTTTACCTAAATGCAGCCCACCAGGCAGATCAACGAAGAGAAGTCACCAGGACCCATCCCTGGGGCTGAGAGACAGAGACAGGAGACCCTGCAGCAAGATGGGACAGGCTAGTCTTAAGGCAGAACTTCCCAGCTACAAGGGCCCGAATCTGTACAAACTCATTCCAGTCACAGAAATTAAAAGCTGAAGGGAACGTCAGTTATCACATACAGCAAACAAAACAACAACAACAAAACCACAAGCACAACTTTTCTCTTAACACACAAGACTCGGTGAAAGAAGCCAGTCCCAAAATGTCACACATCACGGAGTTCGTTTACACAAAAAGTCCCGGCTAAGCCGATCTATAGAGACAGAGAGATGAGTGGTCGCCTAGGGCTTGGCTGGCAAAAAACGGGGAGTGACTGCAAATGCGTACGGGGCTTCCTGGGCGGGTGAGATGACAATATTCTCACTGACGGTGGCAACGGCTACACAGCTCTGAATACACGAATGGTCACTGGATTAAGGGACTTTAAGTGGGCAAGTTATACGGCACACGAATGCTCTCTCAATAAATCACCGCTAGATTAAATTAAAAACCACCAGGAGAACTGGGACACGGTGGCACTGCCTGTAATCCCCAGCACTCTGACAGGCTGAAGCAGGAAGCCAGCAGGTTCAAGCCTAGCTTGGGTAACTTAGTGAGATAGTGGCTCAATCCCCAGTACAGTACCGCCATAAAACAAAGCCAAACAACAACAAAAAATCCACTAAAAGCCTCACAGGAAGACCCTAATACATGAGGTGCCCAAGACCAAACTTGAGGTCCGATCCGCCAGCAGCAGCTGGGAGTCCTCAGGGCACTCTTCCTTCACTCTTACCGAGGGGCTCCCCATGGGTTTAGACCAAAGTCCCCATCTTGAAGGCTGCGCAGGGGTGTCCTCGCCACCCCCCATGCCCCGTCCACCCTGTTCTGGCCACACCAGGCTCCCGAAAGTTTTTATACAGATGGAGACCACGCTGGTCCCCAGGCCTCTGTGCCTGCTGGTCCCTGAGCTTCTCCGCCTGGCTCCTTCCGCCTGTCACCTCCCTGTCTGAGCGGCCAGCCTGCCACCTCACTGCTCCCTGGCCTGTTCTCTGCTTTTTTCTTCACAATGCTTAATGGTACCATTTCACTTGCTTCTTGTCCTTCTCTCCCTCTAGACTTTAAGCTCCACAAGGACAGGGCTTTGCCTGAATCTCAAGCACTACTGTCTCTCCAAGACCTTGAAGAGTACTGTTTGAGGTTGACTTGGTCCCTTAAAATTCCTCTGTGGAAGCCCTCCCTCCAGCACTTCAGAATGTAACTATATTTAGAGACAGGGTCATTGCAGATGTACAAGGGGTGATCAAAATATACGGCGAATGTTTACATTTAAGCAATTGATTATAGTAAAAGACACTGCCATTAATCTCCCTCAGAATACTCCCTCTTGGGCCCGGGGATTTAGCTCAGTGGTTTCACCACCTGCTGCACAAGCGCAAGGACCTGAGTTTGATCCCTGGTACCAAAAAAAGAAGACTCCTTCTTGCTTTAAACACACATGTCACCATTCTAGCTAATCTCTGATGAAGCAGTCCTGGAAGTGCTCTTTTGTGAGTGTCTTTATGAGATGTGATTAAAAAAAAATATATGGTGAATGCTGCTGCCAAGTGACATCCAATGTAGAGGCAGGATCATAAAAATATTACAGTGTGTCCTCATCCACCTTATTCACTGGGCCTGGCACCTGTGTTATTTGACTCTTCCCCAAAGTCAAAATGACCATGAAAGGTAAACACTTTGAATTGATTCACTACATCAAGGCAGACAGCACAGTGCAACTAGAGACACTCGTAAAGGAGGTTCAGAAACCTGTAAGAATAATGGGATGAGTGTGTCCAAAGTGAGAGGGAATATTTTGAAGAGGGATTAATGGTAATGTGTCTTTTACTATAATACATTTTTAGAAATTTAAATATCCTCCCTATTTTTTGACCACATGTTGTACTTGTTAAAATGAGGTCATGCTACAATATAAACTGGTTTCCTTATGGGGGGATTTGGAGTTGGGGGGCTGTGGGGGATTAACTAATGGTCAACTTGCAACGCCCAGCTGAACTGAATCAGTGTGGTCTGGGCATGGAGGATCCACCTGAGGACTGTTATCAATAGCCATAAAAAGAGAACTGGAGGGGAAGATCGTGGGCTGTTGATTTTCTAGGAGAAGCTTGGTGCGGATGGTTTTCCTGATGCGAACTTGGGTGTTCTCATTGGAGGAAGAGCTCGGGGCCTCGTTGTCACTGGGAATGGCTGCTGTTCTCATCAGGGGAGCTCTGATCTTCACTGTGAGCATCACTTCCTGGCTCCAATGTAGATCCCTCAGCCTGGTGGTACAAATCCTTCATTCCATTGGCATAGGTTTTCTGGCTTCCACCACTGGCCTTTGGGCCTTCCAGGTGCAGATCCTCAATACAGACAAGCACGAGACTTGTCCACTGGCTGGACTCGAGGAGGACATTGCCTTGGACTCTAGGCCTTCAGCTGGACTTGTGTGGGAAACTGCTGGGATCCAGGCCCTCAGCTGCATCCTTTGGGCCTCTAGTGTGTGGCTAATCTCTTGCACTCCTTTGTATTTGACTTTTTGAGTAAATATCATAAAATAATCCTATAAATTATGTGTCCTGTATTAAATCTATTCCCTTGCAAAACCCTGACTACAACAGGGGCACCATGTGAGAGGAAGGCACATGAGAGAACATCATGTGAAGAGGAAGGCAGACCCCAAGCTGGGGAAGGCCAGGCACCAGCCCTCCCCTCGAAGCCAGGTCAGGCCTGCAACAGATTCTCCCGCATGCCATCCTCAGGAGGAGCCTCCCTGCCCACACCTTGATCTTGGACTGTGAGATAATAAATGTTTGTGGTTTAAGTCGCCCAGTCTGTGGTGCTATGTGACAGCAGCCCTAGGAAAATAATACAAGTACTTAACACAAAGTGAGAACTCAAAAAATCCCTCAACCAAATAAACAAACACCTAATAGCTCCTTTTTGGCAACCTCAGGGCCCCTTGGGCTGCTGGGCTGTACAACTCCAGGCCCTTCACACGGAGCTCGGAGTGGGTCTTGCCCGTGGGAAGTTGTACAGCCCGGCCCTGTAGCCATGCCCCGAGGACAGTTTATCTGTGGCCTGTCTGAGACAAAGTGCGTCACAGACACAGCCCAGAGGCCCAGCGAGTCTCTGCATGCCTCCTGCAAGAAGCAGGTCGGGGGGGGGGGGGACAGGTGACCCCTCTTTTGAGCAGCACTGAAACCAAAGCAGGGTCCCCTAGACAAAAGGCATGGCCGTGTGGACCGCAGAGAAAGCATCACATGACATGTGCCCATCCATGTCAATTCAGGCCACAGCTCTCAGACAGGTGAGCGGAGGAAGCTCCGAGATGCCAGTGTGACCACGAGGACACAGCGCAGCCTGAGAAGCCCGCAACTCACCCCACGCTTGAACCAACTGGTGAGAGGCAGCGGGATTCTTACAAATCCACCCTGCCGAGAAGCCTCCAAAGTGCCCCAGAGCAACCCACTGTCAGATTCCAGCCTGGGGGCATCCCAGGCAAGGTGGCTGGGAATGGGCAGGTCTGCTGTGACCCGAGGAAGCCAGGGACAGCCATTCTCCCCGGGGCCCTAACAATAACAGCTACCACTTCAGAACACTCAGGAAGGACTGGGCACCGGCTGGGTGCTGTGTCCATTGGACACTGAACCACCACCCCACGCCAGGAAGCTGTTTCTGCTGTCACACTGCCTTATCAGCGAGGACACAGGCTGAAGGGTCTGAAGGACAAGTCTGAGGTCACAGAGCTAGTTAGAGCAGCAGGCAGGATTTGAAGCCAGGGCCAGTGACCCAAGAACACAGGCTCAGCTCTTGAGCCTCACCTGTCCGGAGTTTTACCACGCATCCTTGCCCCGTCTCAGTCTCAGTCTCTGCACAGAGGGACTATAAAATTATCAGTGTCCTCGATTTTGCCCTCAGGACCCCAAAGCTCATGGAGCCAAGGGTATTTTTAGGAAAGACTGGCTCCCACGCTTAGGTCAGCTGAACTGAGGCCTGGTGCTCTTGGGACATGAGATCTGGCCCTAAAGTATGCAGTCCCCTCCCCATCCAGCTGCTTCTTCCTGATGCCTGCATGAGCCCCCTTCCCAAGGTGGCTGGTGGGAACCTCCGAGAGGCACATGTGGCCTCAAGTCAGCACCCCGCTGCCTTACCGTCATCCTCTGAGGCCTGCTCCTGCTCCATGCTGGCATACGTGCGCAAGAACTCAGCGAAGGCCCCATCCCGGGCCAGCAGCTCCTGATAAGAGCCCATCTCTGAGATCTTGCCGCCAGTCATGACGACAATGACATCCACCTGTGGCAAGTAGCTGATGCCATGTGTGACCAGGATCCGAGTCTGCAGGGTCAAGCAGAAACCCAGTTACAGGAGCTCACACATGTGGACAGCCTCACAAGGCACAACGATGACTAAGGGAGGCATCGCCAGGCCTGGGGCAGCAGCACTCAAGTCTGAAGGCAGGGCACGTACCTGGGACAGAAGCAGGCTAGAGCCCGAGTCTGTGTGCCGGGGTCTGCCCTGCACAGGGGGATAGGCACAGAGCTGCGGAGCAGGGGCATGTAGCAAGAACAAGACCAACAGAGACCCCTACCCCGACCCCAGTACGGAGGAGAAATGAATAGGAAAAAAGGTGCACTGGATGGTGCAAGCACAGCCAAAAAGGGAACAGGTGGGGGCGCAAGTTTAACAGGGGTGATGGGGAAAACACTGCATGCAATGGCCTAATTTTTTTTTGAAAAGCCAACTCTCCTTGTCCCCCTTCCCCAAAAGCCACTATGAAATCTGTATATGTATATATATATTTTTTATTTCATTTATTTATTTTGGAGTGCTAAGAAGCAAGGGTATGTTTTATCTATGGATGTGGAAGTCTTGGAAGACATTCATTCAACTGTTAGTAGAAGTCAGCCAAGTCCCTTCTCACAGGGCCAGATGGTAAATGTTTCTGGCCTCACAGCCCTTACAGTTAGCGGGCAGCAGCTCAGCTCTGAAGCAGCCACGGTGACCCCTGAAGCACAGGTGGCTGCACTGCACCCCAAGAAAGCTTTATTCGTGGACAATGATGCTTAGACTTAATATGATTTTGGCATGTCACAAATCACTGTTTACATTTTTCCTGCCAACTTTAAAAGATGTAAAACCCATTATCAGCCTGCTGACTTCTGCACTCAAGAAAGAACTTAGAGGCTCAGGATGCAGGGACCCATGAATGGACCTGCACACACACACAGGCACACACATATCTATGTACTCTTTGATCTTGTTACCACGGCCATGTATTCCTTTGAAAACCTAAAATATATTTAAGAGCTTTTTGCACTGAATGTTAGTGGTGTCCACAGGACTGCTTAGAGCAGGGTACGTGCTATGATGCTGTCTATATAGATAGGTAAGACGTGATAATCCTACTTAAAAAGTTTATACACATAGCAAAATGACTCAAAAGAAACACAAAAATCTAAGTAGTAGGATTATGCATAACTGCTTTTGCTTTCCACAAGCTTCAGTATTCCTCCACGGGGATATGTTTTCATGAAGAGGTGGACTACTATGCCCCCTTCCCTCACTGTCCGCCCACCCCAAGCACAGGAGCTATTTCCTACCACATTAGGTGTCCTGGTGAATTTCATACTCCAAACCTGCATCACTCGGTCACCTCCGCCTGGAAGTGGAGCTATCTCAGTCCCAGGAGGTCACGGGTGGGATTTCCCTCTGAGAAGCCAGCCCCATGACTTAATTGGGAAGAGAGGCCACCTTTGGGCAGCGGATGCAGTGAATTCAAGTCAGTGCCAAGGACTTACCCTATAAAGACGAGTCCAAGGCAACTGCCTTGGGAAGGCTTCCAAGGGAAGCATGAGAAATGTGTTCAAGTCCAGTTTAAAAAATAAAAAAGCCTGGGAAGAGAACTCCTAAAGGGAGCATATCCTGGCTTAACCAAAGAGCAGGAAGGTTACAGCACCTTATTCTTCAGCATCCCTTTGGGGCCAATCACGTTTTCAAAAATGTGCTTCCCCACGTGGGCATCCACGGCTGAGAGGGGGTCATCGAAGAGGTAGATGTCTGAGTCACAGTACACGGCCCGGGCCAGGCTCACACGCTGCTTCTGGCCCCCGGACAGGTTCACGCCCTGGGAGACACAGCACAGAAGATGGGTGTCCTGGGAAACTGAAGATGCAGGAAATGCAGAGAGCTACTGACCGAGCTGCTGCCAGGGATGCAGAGGACCCAGCCAGACTGCAGGGCTGTGCCCCGGCCCTATGACAGCGTGAGGCATGAGAGGATGGCACAGCAGCAGGCCGGCCCTTCCCACAACAGGTGGCTCAAAGCCACTGCCATGCCTGGCTGGGGGAACGAAGTGGATACCTGCTGGGTTAGCCTGGCAGAACCCGAGATCCCTGGAAACTGTTTATCCTTTCCAAGGAGCTGCAAATTTATGTCAACTGAAAGAAACCATTCACCCAGTCAGAGAGCTGATGGAGCCGCCAGCCTGTGACTGGAGACAGACAGGTGGGCTCTTTGCACTCTTGCTTTTCTGGGGAGTGGCCGCTGCTTCTAAGTGTATGCTGTGAATGTGCACTGGACTGCCACCAGGGCACGGGGGCAAGCAGGCTGGGCCAAGGCCAGGGAGTGGGAACCCTGGGGCTGGGAGCACGGAGTGGGCTGGAGGGGCAGAGTGCGGGAAGGGAGCACAAAGAACAGCCATTTTTCAGAAGTAACCAAATGAATCAGGTGCAGTCCTGCATGCCTACAATCCTAGCTTCTGGGAGACTGGGGCTGGAGGATCCCAAGTTCAAGGTCAACCTGGGCAATTTAATGATTTAGAAAGATCTTGTCTCAAAATAAAGTGTAGCTTAGCAGCAGAGCATCACTGGGTTCATCTCCATTATGACATACACACATACATAAGAGACAAAAGGTAGCAGGGAAGAAGGACAAAGGAGCCTCTCTCTCTAATATTCTCTGGCTATGTGGCCTCAGGCAAGTCATTTAGCCTCTCTGGGCATCTTCCTTTCCTCACCCATTACATGGGAGTAACATCAAATCCCATGGGGGGGGGGAGTTGCCATGGCGATGAAATAGGAAAAGTACTCAGCACAGGACCTAGTGCAGAGCAGTGCTCCACGCATTAGCTGTTACATTATCACCTTTATTACTCATGTCTGTTGGCAGCGACTGTGGACAAGTGAGATGCCCACAGCCCTCCTCCCTGTGTCATACTTTCTGTCAACCTCGCAGCCATGTGATTGCAACAGTGGAGTGCCCCTCCTGTGATCTGCTTTGTGTGAGTCAGGGGCAGGCCATGCTGCTTCAGTTGTTCTCTTGGGCTTTTGCTGTTACAGGACAGAAGCTTCCCTGGGGCAGCTGCTGGGCCTCAGCCCAGGCCCCAGGAAGAGCCCACATCGGGTAGACTGAGCCAAACTCCCAGGGTTCTACTGGAACAAGCATGGAGCACAGCCTCCCTCCCAGAGGAGCCAGCCCGATCACAGTGGATCACAGCCCAAACACAGGACAGTCGTGTTCAGCGCTGTATGTCACTGAGACTGTGACTGTGTGCTATAGAGCCAGAGCTGCCTGATCCAGGAGCCTGGTGCCGATACCATACCCACCTTCTCGCCAATCTCGGTCCGGTCCCCGCTGGGCAGGATTTCCAAGTCGGGGAGGAGGGCACAGGCCTCGACGACAGACTTGTAGTGTTGTTCTTGCAGCTGGTGCCCAAAGAGGATGTTTTCTCGGAGAGAGTCGTTCTGAATCCAGGCCTGTTGAGGGACATAGGCCACCGAGCCCTATGTGATAGGTGAAGGGGGTGAGACAGACAGACAGACTCAGTCAGTGAGACAGCAGCCTACATACCACTTGCCAAGAGAACCCTACTGCGCATGACATTTTCATTACAGCTACTGCTTCAGTAAGAGGGAAATTGAGTCACACAGAGCCCATCTGAGGTCAATCACTGACTCCAATATCAGGAGTTAAAGAGCTGAAATCCTGCCGGGCCTGGTAGCGCACACCTGTCATGCCAGCACTCAGAAGACTGAGACACAGCCGAGGATTTAGCTTACTGGTTCCGCCACCTGCCTCGCAGGTGCAAGGTTCTGAGTTCAATCCCTGATACGATAAATAAATAAATAAATAAATAAATAAAAAGAAAGCTGAGACAGGAGGATACTGCAAGTTGAAGGCCAGCCTGAACTATATAGCAAGACCTTGTCTCAAAAAACAAATCAAAATGAAACAAAACAGGGCCAAAATCCTGATTGCTGAAACTGTAGTTATGTATTTAGTATTTACTGAATACCCATGACAGCAAACAAAAGCCTGCCTTCAGAAATTGGGCATCCCTCAGAGGGCCAAAAGAATCATCTGATTAGTGGGAAATGCTATGGGATAAAAACATACAAGGCCTTTAAAAAAGGTCCTTTAAATCCAGCTGTGGGGCGAATGCCCGTGATTCCGACACTCCAGAACAGTGGTGGTGAACCTATGGCACACACATTAGCGCGCTGCTTGTTATCACTGAAGGCTCTAAAAGGTTCACATCACTGCTCTAGAAGGTTGAGGCAGGAGGATGCCAAGTTCAAACCAAGCCTCAGCAATTAATGAGACTTTATCTCAAAAAAAAGAAAGAAAAAAGGGCTGGGGATGTAGCTCAGTGTGAAGGCCCTGGTTCAACCCCTCGTACTGCAAGGAAAAGAAAAAAGGCCTTTAAACACTGCCCATTTTCTTACTTTACAGTGCTCACCTAATTTGGGGCTTTGGGGAGGGAGTCCTTGAGGAGGTTCTCCCAGTGAAATTTAAGCAAAGACTTCTATAGCAAAATGGCTCATGTCAAAGGCTGTTTTGTTTGTATTTTCATGTGACTGAAGGCATCAAGAGTAGTACAGGATGGGGCTAGGGTTAAGAGAGTTTCTTTTATGGGTTTAGTAATACAAACACTGAGATTACTAGAATTTGTTCTGAACAAGTCAGAATGGTGAAGGATCAGAGTCTCCCAAAGAAGACAGAAGAACACTGAAGTCAGAGAAGCAGGGTTGAAGACAAGAAGTACTTGGTGCACTGAAGACACAGGAAGGTCGGGGGCCCGGACGGGGGTGGGCCCCACAGGGGGCAGACAGGCAAGAAAGAGTCAGGGTGGCCGGGCCAGCTCACACTGGGCTGGTGGCCAGACTGACCGCACCATCAGCCCTATGGGAGCCGCCAAAGATTCTTAAGCAATTCTGGGACAAAGCTGGGTGTGGAAACCAGGGGTCCTGACTCCTGATCTAAATTCCCAGATAAATGACCAAACTTCGGGCTACAATACTCTAACTTTTTTTTGAGACAGGGTCTCACTATGTAGTTCAGGCTGGCCTTGAGCTCACTATGTAGCCCAGGCTGGCTTCGAACTCAAAGTGATCGCCCTGCCTCTGCCTCCCGAGTGCTGGGATCACAGGCATGCGCCACAACACGGCCTTGATACTCTTAACTTGTAAGGGATCAAAATGTCAGAGCATCAAACCTGCAGATAATTAGCCATGGTGGGCACAAGCCATACCAACAAAAACATTTATCTGACCCCAAAGGTGCGTAGTGCTGGGATTGTGAAGACCGAGGTTAATGAAAGAGAAGGCAAAGTGGATCCCAGTGTGGTAGAAAATGTTCTTTCATTACTGCAGCTCACACTGCCCATTATCTTACTTTACAACGTGCTTGAAAGCTATTATAGAACAGTTCTTAAAACAACAGCTAAATATCATTAACCTGGACCCAGTGACTGCAATGTTTGCTTTCAAAAAGGCACCATATAATGACCAAGAAACGATTTTGCCTGAAATGAAAACAATGGCATAAGCTATCACTCCCCAGTGTTTATGCCACAAGACAACTAAGTAGGTCTTGGAAGAAAACAAAGAAGTCCAGGCAACCGTAGCTGCGACACACTGGTTAAATGAAGTTAAGTTTTTTCGATTTGCAAAACTTCTCAGAGCCTTTACTTTGTTAATGTTTCCAAGAGGGACGGAGGGAGAGGTGAAGTGTTTCCCAAGATGTAGGACCTGGGGGCCCTTTATCCCTGAAACATCCAGCAAGATGAATCCATTGCATGTTGCACTCCAAAGAACGCTGGTGTCAAATTATTTCTACACCAGGAGAGGCCTTCGGAGGGGCAGATAATGTGCGCGACAAGCTCTTGATTTCCAGCGGGACTTATTTGTATAGGAGCCTCTTAAGCTCTCTCTCAAGGAATTTCAACGTAGTTCAAAGCACTCTATTAAAAACAGTAAAGCCATACTGTTCTATCAGTGCCACATTAAGATTTCAACAAACACTGATAATTTAAACTGGTCCCTCATAAACGATGCTCTAAGAAAATATTCCAACATTTTACAATTTTGTTTTAGACGGCACAGTGGCACACACTGGTAATCCCAGCACTCTGGGATTGCAAGTTCGAGCCCAGGCTGGGCAACTCGGCAAACCCTGTCTTCAAATAAAAAACTTAAAAAGGACCAGGGCTGTAGCTCGAGGTAGAAGCAGTGGGTTCAATCCCCCGGACAGGAGATTTGTGCTTGTAAGAAGAGAATCACAGAGACTCATAAAGAGAAAGAATAAGCCAGAAGACTCACACGCAGGGACCACAAGATGCAGAGGGAGGAGAGACTGGGCAGGAAGGAAAGACAGAGTGAACCACAAGGTATCTGTATGCTCTCCACGTTTACTGATGGCCTACCCTGCTCTAGGAGCTGGGATGCAGCAGGAGTGACTGACATCCTGCCATCTGGGATGGCAGGCAGGGTGGGGGGCAGGAAGTGAAACTCGGTCACTCTCTCTTCAAGCTCAGAGACAGTCCTAAAGGGGAACAGCTCAGTCCTTGACCTCCCCCTTCAGCCCCTCTCCTACCTTGAGAGTCACATGCCCCTCCAGCTTGTCCATCTCTCCCAAGAACGCCGAGAGCAGAGACGATTTTCCGCAGCCCACCTGGCCCACCACAGCCACCAAAGCGCCTTCTGGGACGGAGAAGGTGATGCTGGAGAGAGAGAGAGAGTGTGCCTGCCTCAGCCCCAGGGGACAGAGGTAGGAGGGGGTGGACACCAGGGGGGGTGGTCGAGAGCATTTAAGGTCTCAAAATTCCTTCCACCATTTCTGTGGCTGAGCCGAGCTCAGTGAGTTGCCTCCGGGCTTTGGGGGAGTGCGTCAGGTGTGAGGCAGGTGCCAGGTGTGAGGCAGGGGCTGGGATGAAATTCATCTGGGGAGGGCACAGAAGAGGCCCAGGGAGTCATGTCACACCCAGAGTTAAACCGAGGGGTATCAGGTTTGTAAGACAGGTGGCAGCCAGGCCTGGGAGGACCTTATGGGACGTGGTGCTGAGACACCTGCTCTTTGCCAACTGGGAGCCACCAAATGGCTGAAGGGAAGATTGACATGAACTGATCTGAGCAGAGTTTCAGAAAGACCTCTACAGTACTGTCCTTTGATAGACGAGTCAACCAAGTGAGACGAAAGAAGTGCACTGCCCTACTAGCAAGACCAGCTAGCACAGGAGGGTACACAGCCTTGGCTGCTCTTGCTGAGACAGTGCAGTCCAGCCAGGGTCCGCCCCTGAGAGGGTGGGCTGGCAGGGCTCTGCGCTCCCCTGCACTGACTCCTGTCACTGCTGCTGTTCTAACTTCACTGTGTTAACAGAGACGCCGGTAGGTTCTGACTGATATTCTCTCTCTCTCATGCTGGAGACTGAGCCCAGGGCTTTGTACATTCTAAACATGCACCCTACCACTGAGCTACATCCCCAGCCAGCAAACACTAGATCTTGTACTGGTCGATGGTGCCAGTCTTACGGCCCTGCTGCTGGGTGGCGTGGCTTACTCTCAGGCCCGTGTTAGGTGGGGAAAGGGTTATGGGCCCCAGTGGACAGGAAGCCCAGGGAAGGCGAACCTGCCACTGTCCAGGTGAGACTGGAATACTCTCTTAGGCTGGGGGAGGGAAGGGCTGAACATAGAAAGGATTCCGGGGCTCCAGGGGGCAGAGTGGCTGGAAGAGGAGGCCTCTGAGACAGGAAGGAGGGAAAGAAGGGGCCCCAGATACAGATCAGCTGTGCAGCATGACAAAGGGGAAAGTTACAAATAAAACAGGATTTAAATGAGACATAAGCAAGAACTTCCCAGACATGCAGTCCCACCGAGAATTTCCAACAGACCTAAAAAAGAGATAGACTCTGTTCTCTGAAGAGTTTGTGCCCTGCTTGATAAAATACAACAGTAATGTGGCCATCCAGTCATTTGGCCATCTTCTGGGACTTCCCTAAGGCCCAGGCAAACTGTGAAGCAAGCATGAGGTGGATGTGACAGCCCATCCACCTGTACTCCCGGCACTCTGGGAGGCTGAGGGAGGGGATCACAAGTTCAAACTCAACCCGGGGGGCAACTTAGGGACTTAGTAAGAGCCTGTCTCAAAATAAAAAATAAAGGCCTGGGGATTTAGCTCAGTGGTTCCGGCGCCTGCCTTGCAAGCACAAGGTCCCAAGTTCGATCCCCGGCACAGAAAAAAAAAAAAAAAATAGTGAACATTAAAATAAAAAATAAAAAGGGGTGAAGATGAGGCTCAGTGCAAAGCCCCTGAGTTCAATCCCCAGTAAGTGAAAAAAAATAAAGAAAGAGAAAGGAGGCGCATACCGGTCACCCAGGGAACAAGGCCAGTTCTCTGGACACAGTACAGTGGGGGAAGATCAGGGCTGCAGTGGGCAGGGTCCCGGTGGGAAGGTGTTGAAAAAGGGCCAACCAGGCGGAGAGGGCCATGGAGAGAACAGAGACAGTCAATCCCACCCTAAGCAGAAACACAGCGGCAGACGATAGCTTCTAGCACAACAACTGTGGGCTCCACAGGCCACCAGCCTGCCCAGGCCCTCCAAGCACCTTGACTGGTTCTGGAAGGAGCACCTGACCCAGTCTGGACCAATAGGAGGCAGGTAGCCTCCCACTGATGTTCACAGACACATTGATTGGCTCAGGGAGGAGCCTGGGACCTGGATGGAGCAATAGGAGTTAGGCAGCCTCCAGCCCAGTACACCCAGAACTGCAGACTCTGCCACCCCACAGGAGAGGAAGTCAGAGAATGAAGCACAGAGGAAAGCGGAACGAACCATGGTTGGGCAGAATTCTCACAGCCCAGGCTGAGACACTGGATCACCCTGTACCTGAAAGGGGAGGATCTCAGTTATGAGGGCCAAAACTCCCCCATGTTGCCTCGCTGTGCACAGTTCCTGTCACTTACCCTCAGGGGAGCCCTGTGTGCTAGGCACCCTCTCGTCTGCTCCTCACATAGCCCAAGAGTGTGACTAGACCTGTTTTCCAGATGGATAAACTGGGGCTCAGACAGGCAAAGAGATCTGCTCAAGGACCCGGAAGCGGAGAACAGACAGAATTGGAATCCATGTTTGCCCGGAGCCCTGGAGCTGTCTCCATGCCCCTCGTGACGGCACCCTGGCTTACCCATTCAGCGTGGGGGCTTCGCCTCTGGCCCATGTGAACGTGGCGTTCTTCACAGTAACGCTGTTCGTCCCCCCAGCTGGAAAGCACCAGAGACAACATGTCAGGCACAGATGGAGCAGAGGCACTGAGTGTGAGCAAACTGCTCTTTTCTGTTTTCCCTCATCGAGCAGTTTAACCTCAGATGCCGGAAGATGATGGCACTGGGCCTTATCTGGTGACATCAACCACAGTTCCTCACCAAGCACACCCATCTGGAGTTTGGGCGGTGGCCTCAGACCCAGAAAGCAACTGGAAACCACAAGAGGGTTGGGCTCCTGGGACTGCAGTCTGTGGTGCCAGACACACAGCTCGAAGGCATGGGGTGTGGGGGCCCACACAGGGTGCTCCGTGCCGCTCCAGGAGGGCCGAGTGGCAGCCAAGGCCGAGGGGCAGAGGGGACCAGGCAGTGCCCACATGCACATCTCTCCCACGCCAGGGGGCCCATCATGTGGAGGCTTCCCTCACCTTCAAAACGGGGTCCCCTGCTCTTCAACTGCTGGGTCCTGGCCTCCCAAATGCTTCTTTCTTGCTGCGTCCCCTCCCTCTCTCCAGTCCTACCACCCCGCACACCTCCTGGCAGGTCAGTCGTTTCAAAAGAGCGGTCACAATAAGCTGAACACCAGCAGGTTGTGAACAGGAAGTGTGGCAGGCAGTGGGGGAGGGCCGAGGTCTAAGACAAAGCCCACATTATATGGTTCCAGGGAGTCCTGGCTCTTGGCAGCTCTGTCTCCATTTGCTTTGAATGCCCTTGTTTTCCTTTCACTTCCTATACCTTGATTAAAAAAAGATTGTCTCCTAATTAGGAGCCACTTTAAAACCATCCAGAGATAATATAGGGGTATTTTTTTAAGGTTGTCAAATGAAGGAATAACTTCCCCCATACATCAAAGAAACAAAAAACTGCCAAGAGGAAGTGACTGATTGCCCTAAATTAACCTCCCACAGCTCCCGCAAAAGAGGAAACTGCTTGTTTTCTTGTGGTGCTAGGGATGAAATCCAGGGCATCCTAAATGCTAGCACTGAGCCACATCCCCAGGCCCTGAAGAGGAAACTGGAAGGTGCTATGTAAGGAATTTTGGAAAAACCACTCCAGTCAGCCCCAAGCTGCCAAAGCACCCAATCTGGCACATGCAGAGAATGCGGATAAACATCTCAGAAAGGAGCAAGACAGAAAAGCTCAGGGTTTCCTGAAGCTTGTAGGGCGCTGTGAACAACTTCAGTACAAGAAACCTCCTGTGGCCTTCTCAAGTTTCAACCGGTGTTTTGTAGAGAAAGGCAGCTCTGGCATAGAAGGCATCATCCCCATACCTGTGAGGGGACTTGGTCCTCAGGGCAGCTGAAATCTAGGGAGGAAGATTCCAGCATCTACTTAGGCAGTGGCTCTCAAAGAGGGGCGACTGTGTCCCCTCAACAGACAGCTGGCAATGTCTGGGAACAGTTTTGGCTGTCAATATCGGGGTAGGAACACAGTGGACAAAAGCCGAATATGCTGAACAATACCTACAGTTCACAAGACGGTTCTCAACAACCGAGGACCATCTGGCCCTGAAGGTGGTGTGTCCAGCATGAAGAACCTGCTGCAGGTGGTGCAGCTGAGGAAGCTACCACACTAGACAGGTGAAAACTGCCACCTGTCTGCTCCATGTGTAGCGTCTTCTATGCAGCAGGCATGCTGTGAAGTATTTCATGTGCCACTGAGACATCTGAAAACCTACCAGGCACCAGGCAATGCTGACAGATTATAGCCAATGTCTACGCATGTTCAGTCCTCCGACTTTATTGAATTTGAGCCAGATCACATGGGCTTGAAGCCCTGTGCTACCACTTTCCAGCTGGGCAGCCACAGGCAAGTTACTTAACTTCTCTGTGTCTCTTTCCTTCTGTAAATGGGACAGATGACAGTGACCTCAGAGGGCTGTAGTAGGAGTCAAGGAGGAAATACGCACAGAGCGCTTGCCACAGTGGCTGTCACACAGCAGGTGCTCGGCGAATCTCAGCACAGCAGTGCACAGAGCGGCTAAGAACAGGGATTCTCCCAAGCGGCTAGGGATGTGAATCCTGGCTTGATTTATACACTGAGCGATTTCAGGCAATTACTTAAGCCACTTTCCTCACCTGTAAAGTGGGGGTTTCCACAGCCCCCTTTCCAGCGTGCCACGCCAACCACTGGCTAAGTTAATACACCGACACCCTTAGTCAGCAGAGTCACGGAGGTGAATGGGTTGCTGGCTGGTGTCACTGATACTTATTACTAAGTGCCTAGCAAGACGGCAATAAACAAGACCCCTGCGGGGCTGGGGATTTAGCTCAGTGGTTCCCCCGCCTGCCTCACAAGCGCAAGGTGCCGAGTTCGATCCCTGGTACCAAAACAACAACAACAACAACAACAACAAGACCCCTGCCCAAGGAGACGGCTGGAAAAGGGTAAAATAATAGTCTGTAAAACAAATAAACCAACCAATAAAAACCCATAGAACACCCTGCCAGAGAAAGGTACTTCCATTCCCATTACCCCTGTGAGGAAACTGAGGCTCAGACCCACACAGATACAGCGCCTGAGTGGTACAGCCTGCCCGGTCCCCACATCCTTACTCTGCCTGTCCATCTGCTCAGAACAGAATCAAGGTCCGGGCCCAGGAACCCGACTCCAAGGAAGGCTTCAGCCGGGGGCTCCCTCTCAGCAAGCAGGCAAAAGGGCAAGTCCATCCCCTTGGGATGTGTGACCTAAGAGGCCCGTGGGATTCCGGGACGCTTGGCCTCCTATCCTGTCTGCCCCGCTGCAGAGGCCTTGCTTCTTGGTGTCTTTCAGTCAAGCTGCTGGGCAGACGGGAGCCCAAGGGCAGCAAAGGGCGAGCAAGGCTGGGGTCTGGGGGCTGCGTGGCAGGAGGTGGGGACAGTGGCACACACCGTCTTTGACAGGCTGCCGCTCGATGCTACCAGGCTCCAGCTCCTCGTGGGACAGGAAGGTCCTCAGGCGTTTGAGGGAGACACTCGCCTACACAGAAACCAGTGACAGGGCATGGTTAATTTTAAAAAGCATTTTGCACAATACATCCCCGCTGACTTTCAGTGGTTTCCCCTGGGCGAGGAGAGGGCACATCCTCCCTCAGTTCTCAAGACTCTGCACAGTGTATCTGCTGCAAAATAAAAAATAAATGGGTTTTCCTTCTTGTTTTTCTTCAGAAGGCCACAAAAGGCAGTAAAGTGTGTGGGTGTGTCGGGGGTGGTGCTCAACAGAAAAGGACTTCACAAACCTACCAACCTAAGGCAAGAGAGGCAGCCAGCCATGGAGATGATTCTGGAACTCTTCAGGGAACTTCAGCATAGACTGAGTATTATTTTAAGCAATTACTGGCAATTGGGTTCGGTATGATAATGGTGTATAATTATGTAAGATGAAATGCATACTCAAGTATTTATGGGCCAACAGTCAAGAGGTCTGGGATTTGCTTTAAAATTCTTCAGCAAACAAAGAAAGAAATGAAGGAAGGAGGGAGGGAAGGAGGATCAGATGAAGCTAGTGGGGCAAAATGTGGTGGCTGGGCCTGGGTGATGGGGACATGAACTCACACTACTACTACTTCTATGTACATGTGAAAATTTTCATAACGGAAAGAGTACTCTGTTTCTGTTAAAACCTACAACCGGAGCTATATAATCAGGTCTTTAGGGCAAGTTGTCTCTGTAGCTAAAAACGGAGTTGAATATGTGCAAAGCTGAGGAGAAAAATGTGAAAAATACTGGCAGAAACGCGGCAGGGGCTTCAATAGCACCAAAATGTGACAAAGTACAGCACGCGCTGGGAGTGTCAAGGGGGTTGTGAAATTCATCGAGGGGGGTCAAGAGCTGTGTTTTGAAAAAGCAGGCTAGGACAGGCCAGGGTGGCAGAGGAGAGGACATTCCAGAAAGGTTCTTCCAGAAGCCCGGGAAGGCCTTGTCGCATCAAACTTTTGATCCACGCACTCAACAGTGAGTTCCCATCAAGAAGTCTAAGGTCTTTCTTGGGGCCAGCTGTGGTCCGGGCCCTGCTAAGCCCAAGGGCACACGGGCGGGTGAGGCAGAGGGAACACGGGGCCGGGGATTTCTGTGCCTTCCGCTTTGCCCCTGACCCCCGAGGTGCCGTCTCTGCCAAGCCCCTCGGTACCTGCACGATGCTGCTGATGACCATGGGGAGGATGTTCAGGGGAAAGCGGAGGATGTTGAACAAGGCCAAGGACACAAAGGCTCTCTGGGCATCCAGGACGTTGTTCTTGTCGATGGTCACGTAGACGGCAAACGTAGACAGGGCCACCTGCGAGCAGGACACCGAGCTCTGAACACTGTGCCCAAATGAGGGTCACAACCACGGCCCCTAGGGAGGCACGGCCACCTCCCCACGTGACCGGGCCGCACAGCAGGGAGTGGTCAGCGCCTCAGGTGGCATCTGCACAAGCAGGTGCTCACTAAACTGCCAAAGAACACCTGGACAATGAGTGACAGCGGCCCCAAATGCCTGCAGCTCCCACCAACTTCCTAGGGGACACCGCGGGGCACCCCCACTCCTGGGCGGGACCAAACGTGTCCCCAGTGTGGACTTCTGCCCCAGTCATGTTCTAGCTGTCCCCTTCCCAAAGGGCCGTGCACCTGCCCCAGGGCAGCCCTGCCCAGCACTGTAGCCCTGACCCCGGCTTCCGGCTCACCTTCCTTCCCTGCGCCTCTCACTACCTTGTGTAATGGTCTTACGCAGGTTTATTGTCCATCTTACACACCAAAAAGCCACCTCCTCGCAGGGACTTGGTTCCCCATGCACGGTGCCTTCTGTGTCTAGAATGATCCCTGGAACTTAGCGACAATAAAGACAACCTCCGGGCAGGTTTACTTCTTCTCCCAGGGCCTCAACTCTCCCCTGCGTGAAATGTGGCCGGAGGATGAATGTCTCTGTTTAAAGTTCCTTCCAGCTCGTACAGTGTATGATTCTATGCTTCAAGGAAAGAAATACTTTAAAAAGGAAAACAAAAGGCAGGGGTATGGTTCTGGGGAAGCCCATCGGTCCTCAAAGACTCACCCCAGGCCCTTGGTGGCTCCCAGGCTTGACCCCCAGGACTTAGAGATCCCCTGAACTTGGGCTAGCGGTCTGGGGGACAGCACCTTACCCATCAAGTGCTTCCTTTCCCCCTTGACAACCCCGGATGGGAAGGCTGGCTAAGGAGAGCAGTAAAGAGGAACAGGCGGGTTTGGGGCAGCCACTCTCGGCCAGGTGTCACCAGTGGGACCCCACAAGCCCTCTGACAACTGCAGGCAGCCGGGACAAGGGTCCTGGCAGAGTGCTCAGCAAGGCCCGCCAGGGAAAGCCAGCCTGTGGCGGCTGGTCTCTTTTTGTTCTTAGGAGCCGAGGGCAAGTGCCTGGTGCAGCCAGTTCCAGCGCTGACAGTAAAAAGTCAGCCGACCTCGCGCAAGGCTCTGGTGCTAAGTGGCTCCTCCACAGGGCACAGCCAAAGGCCTCATGCACCAGCCTTGAACCCAAGGATACTCTAAAAACCCCATTTTTTCCTAATCTATTTGAACTGATATACTATATAAAAGTTGTACCTATCACTGAAACACCATGTAATGCTTAAATAAGGCTAAACAGATCTACCTCAACCATTTCTCATTTCTTTACAGTAAAAACATTTTGATTCTTTCCTTCTAGCTTTCTGAACTTGTCATCTTTGCCACCCCACCACGCAACAGCTCAGCAGAGCTTCTTGGTCCTAACTGTAACTTAGTACTCACTGATAAAGCTTTCTCCATCCCTCTCCCCCTCAAAGATATCCCTGCTCAAAACCCTCCAAATATATCCACACAATGGAATATTATTCAGCCATCAAAAGGAATGCAATCTTTTTCTTCCAGGACTTGGATGGAGCTTTACGCATGCCAGGCAAGGACTCCACCAGCGAGCTACACCCCCAGGCCAGGAATGCAATTCTTACACGTGTTACAACAAGGATGAACCTGAAAACATCAGGCTACAAGAAAGACAGACACCGGAAGCCATGAAGAGTTTGCTTCCCTCTATGTGAAATGTCCAGAACAGGCAAATACCCAGAGGCGGGAAACAGATTAGTAGTTGTCATGGGGTGGGGAGCAATTACTAGCAGTATAGAGTTTCCTTTTGGGGTAATAAAAATGTTCTGGAATTAGTAGTGAAGGTTGTACAACCTATATGAAGAATACTGAGTCATACACTTGAATGTGATTATATCTCTACCAAAAAAGAAAAAACACCTCTCTGAAGCCAACCTTCTACTTAGTACAGAATCCAAAGTCTTAACCCAGGGCCAGGGGCCATCTGATTCATCGGTGGCCACCTGCCTCCCATCCAGCCAGATTCTCCTCGCTCCCTCTGTGCTAGGCTCCATGGTTATCCTGCCTGTGAGCAGCATAGTCCTACCGCAGGGCCTTTGTACCTGCTCCCCCCTTTCCCCACCTGGCCTCTTCACTGCCATCAGGTCTGTACTCAAATGTCACCTTCTTGGTGATTCTCTGACCACCCTCTTTAAAACCCCAAACCCTCCTTGTCACTCAGACACAATTTTTCAAAAATTCTATAGCAGTTCTGACAGTGTACCATGCAATATGGTTTATTTATTTATTACTGTCCATCTCTCCCAGTTATAATGAGAGCAGTCACTGGTATCTGCAGTGCTCGGTGTTCTCTTGTCAGTGCCTAGCACAGCACCTGGACCACTGCAGACACTCAGTACATGTTTGCTGGCTGCATGAGCGGTGGGCGGACAGAGAAACCTGTTAGAGGGATGTGAAGGTCCCGTGGGTGAGTGGGTGGAGGATTTGCCTGAGGGCAGGAGGGCAGGAGCATATCCACTCAGAGGCATCATTTGGCAGTGAAGAAATCAGGCCTCGACAGCTCATGGTCAGAACATAACTCCCACTGTTGATCAGAGGCTGCAGGCTGGCAGGTCAGAGACCCCAAAGAGCGGACAACATCGTGCAGTCTGTCAGGCCTATGGTTTTGGCTTTTCCAGGAGGTGAAGGTCACCCGCCCATTATTAATTAACCACCGAATGTGCACAGGGCATCAGCCTAAGGGCTGGGGCCATGGGCAGTGGAGAGGTGAGGAGGCCCCATAATAAGTGAGGAGCCTGGGCTGGGGATTGAGCTCAGTGGTTCCGCTGCCTGCCTTGCAAGCGCAAGGTCCCGAGTTCGATCCCCGGTACCAAAAAAAAAAAATTATTAAAAATTAATAAGCGAGGAGCTTGAACTGTAGCCCAGCTCCTCAGCTCCTGACGCCTCCTTGGGCAGAGAGATGTTCTTCCTGGTGCCCAGCATCTGTGCCTCTGGTTCTGGAGCCACCCCACTTTTCCTGTGGGAACTGACATTCTTCCAAGCTCAAGCGATGAGCGCCTCAGTCCAAGCATCCCACCGCCTAGGCCCAGTGACTGGGCCAGGAACAGGCGTGTGACTGTCTATGTGCAACCAATGAGGCCACATTGCACAGCTTCGTAAGAACCACTGGGAGAGAGCAGGGTGGTCAAAAACGGGGTTCTCGGGGCCGGAGATTCAACTCAGTGGTTCCGGCGCCTGCCTCACAAGCGCAAGGTCCTGAGTTCGATCCCCGGTACCAAAAAAACCCCCAATAAAATGGGGTTCTCCGCTCACAGGGGTTACTGAGGTGACAGAACGATCCAGAAGTAGTGGCTGACAAAGAATCCACCATGAAGAAAGCAGAGGGGAGAGAGAGCTACTCCCAACTTTATCTCCGACACATCTAGATCCAGCCATTCTGTACCCCCAGCCATGCTTACAAGTAGTTTCTTCCTCGGTTTTACGGCTCAAAAATCCTCATGGCTTTTTTCACTGCAGTTGATTTGAGTGAGGTTTCTGTCTCTTGCAAGATAGTTCCTGATTACCACAGGTCATTTCATTCATTCAACTACATGTATCTGCCAAATGTGCACCATCTGCCGAGTTCCCTCTGCTCTGGGGATGTCAGCATTCAACGACATGGCCTGTGTCTCCGGGACCTTATTATCTAGTCAGCAGAGAACTACATGGCAGAGAATCATGAGGTAAGAATTATTCCAAGGAAGAGACATACAAGGTAAGTAGAAAGCAAGAAGCACACAAATTATCTAAGATGGAAAATGCTAACCATTGACAGGCTGCTTGGGGCTGCTATTTTAGGCACGGGTACTAAGTGGACATGACAAATGCCAGACTCTGTGTTCCAGAACGGCAGCCCCATTCGGCCCCTGGACGGCATCCCCAGGCCCATCTGCCCACCCCGGTCTGTCTTCCATCACCCCTACCACTGGATAAACAGCGCATCATCCCTGCAGCACAAGAATTTACCAGTGGAAAGAACATGCAAGAACCTTCCAGGGAAACGGCGGGCCACATATTTTATCCTAATGTAGTCAGAGGCCTTGGCATCTTGGCCAAGGCTAAGGTCTTTGGCTGACACCCAGGCCCATCTGCTCTTTGCCAAACAGTCCAACAAGCCCTGTGCCTGGAAGCCCGGGACCTCCAACCTTCACCATCTACCTGGAAACCAAGGGGGAAATTCAGAGGTCAAGATAAGCCAGTGTGGCTCTTCAGCATCTTTCCCTGTGGGGTTTCTGATGGGGACCAGGGCAGGAAATGAAACACAGGACCATAATGTTCAGGTGACAACCTAGAAATCACAGGTTCTGTCAAAGGACCCAACACGCAGGGTAAAGGCACAGGAAAAAATCCACTCTGTCCCTACTCTGACCTAAATGGAAAATACCTCACAGACAAAGCTGGTCACCTCCCGTTCTGGTCTCAGGCTTCTGCCCGTAAGAGAAAGCAATTTGAAACACCATGGATTCCTGTATAGTTAGCAATCACTGGTGTCACAGTAAAACAAACAAAGAAACGTAACTACCTGTACTGCGTGTATCCACTGGTACAGACAGAAACTCTCCAAACACACACCAGAAACTGCTGTGGGGAGACGGGTGAAGTGGAGGGGTGTGAGGTGGAGGGGCTTGGCTTTTCACCGGCACCTCTGCTCCCCATGCCGGGGGGATTTGTCTCCAGGGGACTATTTGGCAATGACTGGAGATATTTCCAGCTGTCACAACTGGTGACACAGCGGAAGGGACTGCTTGGTATCTAGTGGACAGAGGCCAGGGATGCTGCTACACACCCTACAATGCACAGGGCAGCCCCACATCACATAAACAAGGAATGACCTGTTCTCAAACATCAGCAATAGTGCTGAGGCTGAAAGTCTGCTCTGTGGGGATCATCAGTGCTCACTGTGGAAGTGCTCAGTGGTAAAGC